AAGGTGAGGAGTGAGAAAACGCCATTAGATTAGGCAATTATGAATTAAATTGGAAACTTTGAAGAGAGCCGCAAAGTGAACGGTAAGGTTGTAATCCAAATTACAAAGAATTAGGAAGCAAGTGAAAAGAGAGTAAGTGAAGGCAATGCATGTAGATAGCTTTTTGTTTTAGATTCCCTTTGAAAAAGAGAAGAAATATAGGATGATGGCTTAAGAGGATGGTAGGGCCTTGTAAGAATTGTTTAGGGATAGGGAAAACTTGAGTGTTTGTGAACAGCAGAGGAGGAACTGATTAGAGGGAAGGAAACGATTGTGGGGGCAATCTGCTAAAGAAGGTGGGAAGAAATGAGATAAAGAAATGTGAAGAAGGATTGGTCTTGGTGAGGAGAAGGGTCACTTCTTATGATATTTTTTTGGGGGTTAGGCAATGGGGTTAAGTGACTTGCTCAAGGTCACACAGCTAGTAAGTGTTATGTGCCTGAGGCTGAATTTGAACTCAAGTCCTCCTGAATCCCAGGGCCAGTGCTCCATCCACTTGCCACCTAGCTGCCCCAGGGTCACTTCTTTATCAGATGCTGAAATAAAGGAAGAGAGAATGGAGGGTAGTAATGCAGAGAAGGGGAACTGAATAAGCTTAAGGTAAAGGACACTCACCAAAGTAGGAGGCAAGGTCCTTAACTGAGTGGGAACATAGAAAAGATGGTGTGGTGTGGAAGACTCCAGGAGAAGGTAACTGGAAACAAAGTTCTGTTTCTCCAGCTTCAGGTCTTCTATCACTTTCAGCAGCTCGGGAAGATTAAGCAATTTGGTCACAGAGATACTAAGTGTCAGAGGTAGAATTTGAACTCAGGTCTTCCTGAATCCATTTCTATCACTCATGGTAATAATATGCTACTTTTCATGTTGGAAAAACCAAGGTGGCACCTAACTGAGATGTGGAATATTGTCATTAAGGATTAGCTTTGTTTGCTCAATAGCCTGAAATGAAAACAAACAAACAAAACTATAGTTTTTCAGGTAGAAGTTATAAAATGCAGTAAATCTGCACAATATTAGTATTTCTACATATTTTATAGAAACAATAACTTTGCAGGGCCCTACCATACATTTTTGAAGTCAAAAAGTATATCTAGGCCCAGACTGTAACCACAGAATCCTTAGTATTCTGTGTCCTCTTATAGGGATATTTGTCTGCCTACCAACAAGTAGTCTAGTACTCCAGGAAATTAAATTTGTGAGAAGATTCAGGCCCAACAGGTTTACTAGGTCCTACTGATTTTGTCTTGTTGTGAGGAGAATTCATGTTGAGAATTTGTGTCATGGGCTAACCAGATAATATATAAAAAATGCTGGGGAGGGGAAGGCAGGCAAGAAATATTAAGGAAGGTACACAATAGGAGAACCCACTAAATCAAAGTCATGCTGTTTCTCCAGGAGTAAATTATATAGTAGAGGAAAAACAACAAAGGTACAAAGTTTCAGGGAAAATCAACCAATTACTTAAGTCTTAGGAAGGCTGAAAATTCAACATAGTTAGAATACAGCTTGAGCAGCCAGTTTATGTTTTCTCAAGGACTTCTGGGAGTGATCTTCTTTTCAAGCCTCCTCATCCAAGAAGGGTTGATGTGCTTCAACTAGTGCTGACACTGCCTTTGGGATGGGGTTGTTAAAATTGAGTCTGGTCTTCATAACTTAATTTCCTGCTGTTTGGAACTCAGGTCACAATAAGGCATTTTGCTCAAAATCACTGCGGATTGATAGAGGATGCCAAGGAATGTGATTAAGTATAAATGTGAGGCTTTAAGCATATTAATGTTGTTAGGGTAGGCACAGTAGTAAAATATGTTACCAGAGAACATGCAATCAAAGATTGCTCTAACATTAATGTATACAAAGTAGTCAGTCAGTCTGGGAGTAGAAATGTAATGAATGTGTCGGAGATTTTGGAAAATTTGGAAAATGAAAAAATGGGCAGTTTAGGATAGCTGCTTAAGATAAATCTTGGATAGATAGAGTGGTGTGTGCATGCCTCTAATCCCTCTTATTGGGAAAGGCTGAGTCTGGAGGATCTTGTGAGTTGAGGAGTTCTGAGCAGCAGTAATACCAATTGGTGTTTACACTAAGTCCATCCCTAATATAGCGAGCCCATTGGTGAGCAAAGTTGGAGATGGAAAATTGGACAGTGGAAGAAAGTTTCAGACAGTATAGGTAGAGTTGAGAGTCGTTAGTATCAGTCTTTAGGTAATTTAATCCTTGGAAGTTGATGAGCTAATATATGATCTACATATTGATTTATTTTTGCTTAACTGTACATATTATAAGGAAACAGATCTACCCATACGCATACATGTACATGGTTTCCCAAAATCTTCCTTCAATTTTAAGCTATTAAAGATATATATATATATATATATATATATATATATATATATATATATATATATATATATTTTTTTTTTGTTTGTTTGTTTGTTTGTTTTTGGTGAGGCAATTGGGGTTAAGTGACTTGCCCAGAGTCACACAGCTAGTGAGGGTTATGTGTCTGAGGCCAGCTTTGAACTCAGGTCCTCCTGACTCCAGGGCTGGTGCTCTATCTGCTGCGCCACCTAGCTGCCCCAAGATCGATCGATCTATCTATCTATCTATCTATCTATCTATCTATCTATCTATCTATCTACCTACCTACCTACCTATCTAGATAAGTTAACAGTTTTTATATATAAACCTCTTTCTTTTTTTTATACTGGGATGTTTCTATTTTTGCATTGCGAATGTTTACAGTGTAAAACAATTTAAAATGAAGTCTGCTTAAGAGGCAGTCTTAACAAAAGACAAAAAGAGGTTTTATGGTGTTCAGTATTCCGTGACCCTAGTCTATGGTATGTTACTTTAAAGGTTCTGGCTCTGCTCATTTTGAGTGTCCTGGTAAATCTAGTCAGTCTAGTTAATGGACTTGGCCTGCATACTAGGCACAGCATATGCTTCTTAGTTGGCTAACAATTATGTGTATGCAACCATCGGAGAATGTCTTGGAAAGGAAAACATCTTGCAATATATGAAAATAGCTACTGATTATTGGCATTCAGTTTTTGATTATCACATATATATATATATATATATATGTATATATATGTATATATATGTGTGTATATATATATATATATATAATATATATATATATATATATATATTATATATATCTCACATATAATTTTGATTCTGTAGCAGGGTTAGCTCCTTACCCTACCTCACCCTTCTTCCAACTTTCCAAGAAAATCTAGTTACACTTTTATCCCTCTATTCTAGAATGCCAGACTTTTGGTGCAGTGCATATTTGCTATCTGTTCCTCTGGCATGGTTCATATATAGAGTTCCCTCCTTCTACCCTCTTAAGGAGTCAGCTAATCAATCAGTTCTACTTTTTGTAAAGAACACTAGGGCCAGAAAAAAAGGAGAGAGAGGACTCCTTCCTTAGAGAAGACCGATGTGTCCAATTTCAAAAGTTTTAAGATTTTATATTTCTAGTTACCACTTACCACTAGGAAAGCCATGAGTAGCTCACCCCTCCCTTAATCTGTTGCAGAATATAAAATTCCCATCAACATCCTGCCCTTTAACTTGATCATATATGTGAAATGAATCTGGATTGTACCACCATGACCGCTGAGCCTTCCAGGTTTGCTGCCTGTGATTCCTGTCCCTCCCTATACACATTTACCACCACGACATTTCTTGCTTCTGCCTCCTTCTCTCCACTTAAAGAGCCACCAGCTTAGCCCATATCTTGCATCGTATCTTGCCTAGACTACTGCTATAGCCAATTATTGTAAAACTGTAATTAGTGCTTCCAGTCTTTCCCTTCCCCATTCCACATAGTAGCCAAAATAACCTTTTTAAGGTAAAGGTCAGACCAGATTACTTCTCTGCTCAAAGAATTTCTGTGGCTCCCCTTCATCAATGGGATCAAATACAAATTCATCTAAGGCATTCAAGGCCCTCCACAATCTCCTACCTAACTATCCAAGTCAAGATGAGTCAAGTGAAATCAAAGTGCATCTATTAAGTACCTATTGTGTGGCAGGCACTGTGCTAAATACTTTCCAGTCTTACCCTATGCTGCTTTCCTTCTGAAACTCTACATTCTAACCAAACTGGACTCAGAGATGTTCCTGAAGTCAATCCTTCATCTCCTAACTATGTATTAGTCCCACGGTTGGAATCTGCTTCTTGGAATCTCTGTCTTCAAAGACCAGCTCAGATACAACCTGCTTCATCTAACCTACCCTGTTTGCCTAGTTGGTATTGTTCTTTCTCTCTCCTCCATTTTCTTCATATCATACTTATTTGTATACATCTTAAAACTGTAATTTCCCCAATGAAGTGTAAAACCCTGGAAGACAGAAACTTCCATTTTTAATCTTCATATCCCCCAAACCTAATAGGTCAGTGCCTTGAACATCATAATAGGTGTTTAATAAGAAATGACTTTTTAATTGATTGGTGATATAGTTTAATATTGAGGAGCAAAGTCAGTGGCAGTTTCAAAAGTGAGCAGAATTTTATGGAAGTTATGTGAATAGAGTATATGTACAGTGGTATGAAAGAGGAAATAGGGAGTATGGCTTTGACTGGTACATATTTTCACATGGGATTCAGTGAAATTTGCTTCAAATCAACAAATATCTATTATGTACTATTCACAAGGCATGATCCTAAGTGCCAGGGATATAGAACCAACAAGGAAATAGTAGCTAGTCTCAATGAGCTTGAATTTTACTAGAATTTACTAGAATTGTTTCCTAGAGGGACAGTGTGAGATTCATGCCACCTGTGAATGTGGTCTGCTGTATGTATATATGTATGCATGTATTATGTATTATGTATGTATCTATGTATCTATGTATATACATGCATACACATGCATGCATATTGTACATATTTATATTCTGTATGCCTTTTTTGCTGGTATAAATATGATATTGATTTATTTGGTTTTTTAGGAAGAGAATTTGAAGGAGAAGAAGAATACCTGGAGATCCTTGGCATCACAAGGGAGCAGTCAGGCAAATATGAATGCAAAGCTGCCAATGAGGTTTCCTCAGCAGATGTCAAACAAGTCAAGGTCACTGTGAACTGTGAGTATGTCACGTGTGAATCACAGATGCAATTAGCACAGAGATTTGTGGAAGCAATTTCTAAAGGTTGCAGATAACAGTAGCCAAGGGCATTTCATGTTGAACAGAAATTCTGTTCTGGTCAGAGCAGCCCTGGGTACAATCAGATTTTCCAATGATAAAATGTGGCCCTTAGATCAGATAGAATACCTCTGCCAAGATAATCATGAAGAGATTTTTTTTTAAGAGCCACAACTAGGGTTGAGTGATTGGAGCTTTGTCCCAGGGTGTCAAAATGTAAAGGTGTATTACTTCATTGGCTAGATACAACTGAGTTTAGCACCTAGTTAGCAAGGTGCTGTGTATGTATATACACATATACATGTGTGTGCACATGTACACATACATACACACATAAATAGTTGAACTACATTATATAGAGAATAAAATAAACATAATTATATATTGGCCTGCCATAATTTTTTTAATGGTTCAGCATACAGATCAGATAATTATAAACATGGACAAAACAAACCTGGAAACTCAGATGTCCCTAATTTTTATGGTTTTCAGAGGCTATATCTCTCTCCAAAGAAGGATAACATATAAGTAATTTTATTTTGGTAATAATACATTTTTCAATCAGTTATTAAGTATATAGGGGAATAAGATTAAAATATGAAACTGGGTTAGTGCTACTTGACTGAATGACTGTGAGATTTTGACTCAGTCCCTTAACTTTCTTTGCTCATATGCCACTAATCGTCATTTGCATCATGGGAGGTTGGGGTTGTTTGATAATTCAGTATTAGTGTTCATTTTATCAGAATGTCTAAAAACTGTGTTAGCAAAGAAGGTTCACTAATATGCATTAGTAGGTAAATAAATAAATAAAAGTACTTTGAACCTCTGTAATGAAAGGTTTAGTAATTTAAAAAAAATAAGAGTAGAAAATAAAAATGAGTGAAAGAGGAAGAGGAATGGAACCCTGTGATATGTCCACCCAGCAAAGCATTTTTTAAAAATTCACTTACACTGTACAAAAAGAAGCATCTTTCTACTGAGGTATCTCTATCACAAACTTTACCTAGTGACAGGATAATCTAGCTGCCCAGACCTGCCCTTTTGTACAATCACTGAATTCCTATTCTGAAGTGTATGAAAGTGGATTTCCAGTCTAGCTCGATTACTTTCTGCTTTGTTATATTCACCATGCCATTATACTTGTCTGGAGTTTGGGGGACAGCCCCTGAGGTAGGTTGTGAAATCTCCTTCATGATAGATGCTGCAAAACAGAATCGGCACCTGTCTTACATGTTTAAGGAGCTGATGTTTTAGTAAAGAGGGGCTGTATTTAATGACACTTGAGGTATCTTAAAAGTCTCTTTTTTGGTAGCACTCTTGATTTTTATGAAATGTCATTATTATTATTCTCCAACAGAGAGAAGAAAGGGAAAAGAAAGAAAGAAGAGAGTGGGAAAAAGATAGGCAAAAGGAAAGGGGATAGACAGACAGACATTTATAGTTTCAGAGACAAAATAAAAATTTCCATACTATAAAATGCTTTGGGACATTTTCAGATGAAAGGCATTTTCTCTGAGTGTTTATATAACTTTATAATTAGGTTAGTTCACTTCTTTTATGTGGATGCACCCTCACCAATATCATCTACCTCTTTCCTGACTTTTAGAGTTAAGATTTCATTTTCTATTAATTGACCTTCATCTTAATTAGATTGCATAGAGCCCAATCATGGAATACATGGAAAATATTTATGTTTCCATTGTGTGAAACATCAAAGTGGCATGGATTGCAGATTGTTCCTAAGATCAAAGCTATCAGCCTAGGCCATATTATTAGTGCAATTAGCCTGACATTGCTCCTTCTTGACTGTCCCCAAAGTGTAGCTTAAAATGGCCAAATGACAATCAGTTTTCAAGGAAAGGGTTTTATGAAAATTGGAGCTTTTTTGCTAGTGACAAGTGAATCACAAGAAAGTAGAAACAAAGCTACAAGCCTCTATAAAATTCCTTTCACCTATTTATCCATAAATCTCTTAAGAGAGCCCTGGAAGACCGCCGGTATTTACTATCACAACTAAGAAATATTTCACAAGTATACTGTGCTATCTCAAAGCAACTTCTAAATTTGATTTCAATCCTGAACAAAATTTAGAAAGTACAATGAGACACTGATTCCCTTAAGAATCATCTTTATTCCAAAATATTACATTCTCAGGCTGGGTTTATGTGACACTATAGCAATTGGTTGAAAAGTTTTAATTCATCAGTAAATTGTTGCAACTACACTACTCACATTGACTGATTTGAATGGCTGTACAATACATATATCAGGTTTGATGTTTTTTAGGAACTGAAAACCATTAGAGAATTAAGTTCTTGTGCAGAAGGCAGTGCACTGGAAGAAAGGCTTCAGTGTGCAAACCAAGAGAAAAAAGACCTGAAAAGGGATGAACTCCGACCTATGTCTGGAGTTGGAGTAAAATGATATTTCATACATAAAGTAGGAAGAGAAGAAAGTGGGGGTACTCAAAACTTGGAGCTAAGAAATGATTTTGAAGAACTTTCTGAAAAAGAGCATTCTGTTGGAGAAGCAGTTCCTTATCTTCCAAGGAATGATCAAATGGACCCATAAGTACAGTTAGGTAGGAGATCCTCCAATGGGTGTCAGAGAAAGAAGAGAAAAGTAATGATGGTTGGCAACACCAGACTGAGGGGCACTGAGGCAGCTATTTATTGACTTAATAACAACACTATCTTTCCTAGGGGCTAATGACGATGATGATGATGATAGCTAGCATTTACATGCCATTTTAATATTTGCAAAGCACTTTACAGATATTATCTCATTTGATCCTCATATCGTCCCAGAAAGGTCTGAAGTCTTATCCGCATTTTTGTTATGTTTTCCTTCAGATGTCTTGAGAATCAATTCCCCAGTGTCCTGAAAACTGGGTCACCTCTAACATACAAATCATCTGTATACATTTGATTAAATCTAACCCTTTAACTATCTTCTTTCTTCAGTGCCATTTTTACTTCTGTAAACATAGTCAGAGCTAAGATGGATGTTAAGAGTCCAAACATGGTGGCTCCACAGTCTTTGATGCTGAAAAAAAGAGTTTGCTGTAAAAATTCCTGTAGATCTTCATCTTCCATCTGTTTATTGTCCTCTTTTTTAGTTCAGTTCTTAAATTCTGATCAGATGACTTTCCTTGGAGTCTCTTGCTTAACTTTCTTTCAATTGTTTTTCCTTACGTTGCTTCTTATGGGTTTATGAGGCAATACTGCTTATGATCTTCCACCATTCTTTTCTGGGAGATTTTACAAATCAGTGTTCCTCTTGACTGCCAGCTCTCTCCAAATGGCAAATAGATTAAATGTTTAACGTGGCCATTTTTAGGCTCTTTTGGTTTCCTCATTATGAGAGTTGATTTAAATTGCTTAAATTTCTAGGTAATTGTCATAAACAGTATCAATAACCTTTATTCAATCCATTGTTCATTTTTCAGTGTTAATAATTTTGTGTAATCAGTCAGGTTTGGCTTCTTTTAATTGTATGCGATGTCTTCATTTTCATTTTAATTTTTCTTCTAGCTTTGTATTAATTTTAATATTTTCTTTAATAAGCCCATTATCTTACTGTACACATATAGCTAATTCAAGACTGACTACCACATCAGTAATCGCTTGTTTTCTCTCTGTTAATTAATTTAATTTTTTGGCAATGCTATTTAACACTTACTATGCCCTGCACTTTTCCATTCTTTCATGAAGAAAGTATTCAGATATATAGACATTAAGTTTATTTGTAGTTCACAAGTACTTTGACCTTCTAATTCTTTACTCCTGAACTATGCTTTCCAAAATATTTTTTTACCATCCTTACCATACCAAATTTTCATCGAAGTCACCAAGAATCAAAGTTGATTCCACTTTAGTTCAGAACATCTAATTAAACCTGTACCAGATGCTACTGTACATTCTGCAGTTATTTTCATGGTGGTCTTTTTTTTTTTATTCACAAGATAACTTTATTATACATTTAAAAGGGGTAGGAATTTTACATAATAGATTTGCAGTTTCATGTACAATCATCTTGTTTTTTATTCTATGTTATGGAAATGCTTGTTTTATTCCATAAATTATATCGACATATAGATATCCTTTATAGTTAATTTTGGTATTTATAATGGTCAAAATAACTTATTTGCTGAAAGTCTTAAAACAATGTTGCAGTTATTGTATGCAATGTTCTCTTGGTTCTGCTCATTTCACTCATTATTATTTTGTGCAAGTCTTTCCATGTTTTTCTAAAATCGTTGAACTCATCATTTCCTCAAAATTTCATTTATTTATTTATTTATTTTTTATTTCAACATTCACTTCCACAAGATTTTGAGTTTCAATTTTTCTCCCCATCTCTCCCCTGCCCCCTCCTCAACAGCATACATTCTGAATGCCCCTTTTCTCAATCTGCCTACCTTTCTATGACCCCCGCCCCCATCCCCTTCCCCTTCTATTTTCCTATAGGACAGAATAGATTTCTGTATCCCATTGCTTGTATATCTTATTTTCCCAGTTGCATGTAAAAACAATTTTTAACATTTATTTTTAAAATTTTGAGTTCCAAATTCTCTCTCTCCCTCCCTACCCACCCACCTCACTGAGAAGGCAAGCAATTCGATATATATTCTATCTGTGCAGTCATGCAAAACACTTCCATAATAGTCATGTTGTGACTTCATCCTATCCGGGTCCTCATTTATTGTATTCTCTCCTTTGACCCTGTCACTTCTCAAAAGTGTTTGCTTCTGATTACCCCCTCCCCCAATCTGCCCTCCCTTGTATTGTTCCCCACCCCATTCCCTTCCCTCTATTTTCCTGTAGGGTAAGATAGATTTCCATACCCAATTGGGTGAGTATGTTATTCCCTGCTTAAGCCAAATGCAATGAGAGTAAGATTCACTCATTCCATCTCACCTCCTTCCTGTTCCCCTC